TCCAATAAGAAAATTTGTGTATGTGTAATGAGAGGAGCCCGCTGCTGTAGACTGAAGATCCTGAAACCCTCTCTCTCACATAAAAATAATAATAATTATAGGTAATAAAAATTTAATTGTTTTTAATAGTTATATAAATTTTTACTTAAATAAAAATAAAGTATTTGCAATAAATAATTATGAAATATTTAATTACTGTTTGTAATTCATTTTTCTTTAAGTTTGTAATCAGTTAAATGAATCTAATCATATATATAAATCTTTTGTTTGATAATATATTAAAATATACTTTTACTGCATTTAAAAAAATAAATAAATTAGTTAAATTTTAACAGTAAGTTAAAAAATGATAAACAAACCCTAAGAAATGTGAGAGGAGGTCGCCAAAATATATATAAAAATATATTACATGCAGCAAACACTGCCCACTAGGGAATATATGACCTACCTATCTTATGGCAATTATGTTCGTATCTTAATTAATAAAGAAAATGTTTTATTGAATTTAAAAATTTTAATTATTCCATTAATCTAATAGTGAACTTAACTTTAAACTATCAAATAATTGCAATGTGTATTATACAAATATATAAAGAAACTAAAGCCTTAATAGGAACATAGATAAAATGTATATATAGTTTATAACTAAATAAAAAACTTTGGAATGAAATATCACAGTATAATAAAAACAGAAAAAATATTGTTCCTAAATCTTTAGACAATAATGATCATGAACATGCCAATTATAATGCAAAAAAAAAACACATGCACATGCAATGTCCAAAGTGGGCAGAGACTATGGTCCAGATCAAACATAATTTTAGAGAGAAGAAATTAACTCAATAAACATGTAATGTAAGATAAATAAAACAGTATGAATCATATGATAAAAAAAACTTAATTTCCAAAAATACCGTTTGATAACTTAATATTGTCTGAGCTATGGACCATAGCGCATGCTTAGAACTTGTTCCACTAACCTCGCGGCACACGAGGGCTGCTTAAGGAGTCCTGAAGATCTACTAGAAGTTCTCAGCCCTGTAACACAAATAAATATTTATTAAAATAAAATAAAAACAATAAGTTATAAACATTTTAACTTGTATAAATATATAAGTTATTATTTATGTCGTAGTATAGTCTATGCAAAACTGTTAATGAAGCTTTTACGAAAGATCATTTTCAATAGTTAAGATTACTACGGCTTCACATAGACTAAGAAACCTACGTTTTTTAAAGTATTATATTCTATTACAACTAATTCTTACCTCGCTGCCGCAATGATGCGGTCGGTCTCGGAGACTGCGTGGAATCTGATGGCCTACGAGCTTCAGGAAGACCGCAGCAGTTTTGTGCAGATGTCTCTTGAACCTGTAAAGAAAAACAATTTAAATATAAAAATGACTCAGTTTTGTAATACATTTGTCAGGAACCCGCAATATTCAATATAACCAAGTAATATAATGTTTAGTTATAACTAATTCCTACCTCGCTGCCGCCATGACGCCGATGATCTCGGAGACTGCGTGGAATCGGATGACCTGCGAAGACAATGCTTCCGGAAGACCGCAGCAATTTTGTGCACATGTTTCTTGAACCTGTAATGAAAAACGATTTAAATATGACAATACCTCGGTATACTTTTATTATTTATTATATTGTATTATACTATATTATATCATATTATATTATATTACCACAATAAATATTATTTATTTTCTAATTGATTTAATGAGCCACATAGTAAATTTTTTTTTTTCCGCCCACTCCTTCCTCGCCTTTTAGGCCATACGGGGTTTTCCCGGAGCGGTGATGAAGCGGGGTATTAAATACCAGGATTAAAAGCCCTCTCCCTCCCTCGGCACCGAGACGCGAACTAGAAATTATTTTTATCAAATTATCTCATACCAGGTTGCTGCGCAACGTGGTGCTGCGTTCCGCTAACTTCCTCCGCCCCTGGATACTAAATTGGTAGAAAAAGAGACCGAAAGTTAACTATTAAAGACTTATGAGTGGGGAAACTTTTGAATTTTGTTTGTGTTTTTGTTCACCCATTCCTCACATTTTAGGCTATACAGGGTTTTTCTGGAACAGGGGAGGGGTCGGGAAAATAATGCAGGGTTAAAAGCCCTTCACTACCCAGAGGCACAAACTCGTAATTATTTTATCACATAAACTTCGGTTTATATGGTTGCCTGGCAGCGCGTGCTTTGCACCCAATCGGTGAAATGCTTCCGAAATGTTTGAATATTAAAACTCGAAGAGGATGTGGAGAAGGAAAGGCTAATTAGGGTAAACAGTTTTTTATGACAAAAAGTGTAAATAATATTTTATGCCGACCTTTATAATTGACTTTAATATATGAGATTAAATATTTAGTTATTAATATTTAACGGGGATATCTCAAATATCACATATGGGTGGGTTTACCATATTCAACCTTCGTTATGCTCTTTCCCTCTACATGTCAGATTCATTTGTTAGGAACCCCTAATATTACATGTATAATTATAACTAATTCGTACCTCGCTGCCACTATGACGCCAATGATCTCGGAGACTTCCTGGAACCGGATGACCTGCGAAGACAATACTTCCTGAAGATCACAGCAGCTTTGTTTATATATTTCTTGAACCTATAATGAAAAATACTTTTTAAGTATAACAATTACATGGTATATTATTTTTATTATTATATTTTATCAAACTGTATTGTTACATTATGATATATCATTATACATCATTTATGATATTATTTTATTATATAATATCATAGTATACTGTTACTGTATATAACGATACCAAAGTATATACTTTGGAAAAGTTATATTCTACTAATGTTATATTGCGCTAAATCATTTTAAGCAATCCACAGAAAACATAAAACAGCTATAATTTATTTTTTATCACTAAAGCCGCCATTCTAATGATGATTTAGAAATTATCCTCACTCTCCAACGATTTTATTATAAAATTACAATATATATTTTTGTTTCTGCATTTTTAAGGTAGGAAGTGCCTTTCGGTAGAACTAGAAAAAGCTGAAATGGATGTATATGTGTATATTGTATTTTTTGTAATAAAATTGTTGGGAATGGTATGAAGTTTATGTGCATAAGTGTGTACAATGTATATCAACGGTTTGCCTTGAGCTACTCCTTCTAGTTCTGGACGAATACACGAAATTGTGTATTGAAATTGGTCTGCATTTTAATCTTTAAAGACAGGTATAAAAAAAAAAAATTTTTCTTCTTTTGGCATTACTGACCATGTTGATTTTTTGCCACCTTAACAAGCCTGCTCTATTTCTGCCTGTCCTGGGATATTTCTTTCCATTTATCTGCACGCAGCTCTGTTGCATCTTTGTTGATTATATCTATCTATCTGCTTTTTGGCCTTCCGCGTGGTCTCTTGCCTTCTATTGAAGCATTCATCGTTAAGTGGAGGCTTCCAGATGGATTGCTACGAGCTACATGCCCCGCCCATCTTAACCTCCGTGCCTTCATATCATGGAATATTGATTGACCAGTTTCTGTAAGCAGTTCTTTATTGGTCTTTCTTCTCCATGTGTTAGTACTCTGATCCCAGATCGCTCCGGTTATCGTGCGGAGGATTTTCCTCTCAAATCTTTGCACACTTTTTTCTAGGCTACTGGTATGTGTCCAGGTCTCACAGCCTGTAATGTTATGTTAATAATGTTCTTTTTTAATGATCTGTTATTGTTTAGTGCATAGCCATGCCCATTGCTATTGAAAATATAAATTTCAATATTTTAAATGAACGTGCTCTAACTGCTGCCACATATAATTGTCCATTCGAAATTACCGGACGTCACAATAATATTCACATTTTTCCAAAACTTTTATCCTGCGATTTTATTATGGTCATAGCAAATGCAGCTATTAATAGGAACGTTGTTCTTTGAAAGTCGAATGTAAGTATAGTGTCAGAAAATGTTAAATTAATTATTGGAATTAACATTCTTTAATTTAAAGTAGCCCCCATTAATACTTCAGTCTCATTTTTGTTCCATTAACTAATGTTTGTGCAATATTTAAGATAACAATGAGTATAACTATAGAATATATTTTTTTATTTAATTTATTAGGTATCATTCCACTAACAGTAAATGATGTTAGTAATAGACACAATTACCTCAGTAAATGAAAAGAATCCGATTTATCAAAAAAAAATAAATAAATAAATAAATCGAATTTGGAAGGGAAAGAAAAAGTACTAAATGTTTACAATGATCTCTGCAACAAATAGTCCGTGTTTGGATGATTTTTTTTTATTTTGTAGGAAATCAAGAAAGCTTTCAAATAAATATTGGTATTATCTGTAAAAAATGTGTACTTTTTGAGTTATTCGCAAATAATATACTGAATTCATCATAAAAATGTATGCAGCTTGTTTTCGGGAAAGTATGTTATATACATAAATTATAAAGGTTTCAAGGGGAAGACTTCAGCCATGTTTCATTGAAATCGTTGAAGCCGTATTGGCTCTACAGTCTAAAGTGAATCACGTTTTTCGGCCTCGCCATTTCGAAAGGAAAGGCCCGATGATAATAAAACGTATATAAAAAAAAACCTTTTAAATATTAATGCGACGTTGTGTCAAAATTTAAAAGAAACCGGTGAAGAACAAACTGCCATTTATATTTTTATTCACTTACTATTTAATATTTTTATGTATTGATAACACTAAAGCTCATCAATATCTATTAAACAAAAAAATAAGGAAGAAAATCGGTTGAATAATATAGGAGTAAAAGGGGCTGAACCGATTTGTGTTTGCCTATTTATATAATGATTAGAAGTTTATTGAAACATATTAAAATATAATTTTAAAATGTTACAATCATCTATTATAGAATACAATTCAGTGTAATGTAAACAACTTACCTTATTCAAGCTGCATCCGCTGTGAAGGTGAATTTCTTAATTTTTCATTTCATTCATTCTTCTTCTCTGATATCTTTTTCATTCTTTCAATCTACTAAAAGTCGTAAGTTCTGTATCTCTGGACCACAAAGGGTGATATTCTGTGGAGGTAACTCGAGAAGATTCTAAGACAAAAAAAGTCACTGGACGACAAAAAACTCTTCCTGGCCAATAAAACGATCTCCCCTCTTGAGGACCGGGCAAGCCATCCTCTAAAATCCATCTCATCCCTCGCGAGCAGAGAGCGGCCCTCGCTCTTACGGGATGATTGAAAGACCCGAATCTGACTCTTCGGTACTGGGCCCATACAGAGAAGGAGTCCATAGTCATCGACATCCTTCAAGTCCTCAACCTCCAACCGAAACACTTCATCCCAGTATTTTTCTCCTTTTCCCGGATTTTCTTCTCCCCAAACCGACCCTTTCCCTCGAAGCCACTCAAACTCGAAAAGACATTGTGTTGTAACAGAAGACTCGAAGGAAGATGAGATCGAAGTATTCTACGATTCGCCAGGTAGAGAATTCGAATTGCATCATTGGAGTGATGTAACCGACTGAGCGATTTTCGTGCCATTGTTGTTCATGTAGAAGAACATCGCTCAATTAACAGAAGTCGAAACTAAACTAAAAAAAATTAAACCAAATTTTTGTGAGAATTTTCGTTTAAAATTCAAAATCTTAAAATTTCGTTGATTAAAAGAATTATGATCATCTGATTAAAAAAAATATTTTTTTTATTTTTTTTCCTAGTTCGTTATTTATCGAGGTGATAATATCACCATTTCATGATAAAATTGCATGTCTCTTTAGGAACTACAGACAGAAATAATAAAAAAAGTATGAATCTACATTACTCATAATTGAGACTAAACCTATTGAATAGGAAACTATCTGAAATAAATAATTACAAGATAGTTCTTAGGTCATTGGCTTTTTAGCTATTAGTGTATTTGGAAAACAGCTCATCCTCAGGTACTAGTAAATCATCAAACCAAACTATCCCTCAAATTTAATATCTCTCACTATATCTAGCTTGGTTTGATTTCCTTTAGCGCCTGAAAAATGAGACTTTAAACCATGACTAATAAAAGCCAATGTTGGGCTAGGAATAGAGCATTAACGAGCTCTCATATGTTCGGGGAGATAAGAAATAAACGATTTCTTTATATATATAGTTTTCCAGAGTTACTTTTTAAAAGATACATCTGCAATAGATGATATTGAAATCGAAGCAGATGCAGATATAACTCCAGTGAAATTTAAGTAGTGGTGGTTGCGGTGATTGTTGTGAGGCTAATATAAAAGCCTTAGGTTGCTAGGGGATATATGGTCACAAAAGACCCAGAAGAGAATATCTAACCTACAGCTAGGGAAATAATGTATCCCTAAAATAAGATAACAACCACCACAGTACAAATATTAGTTTCAACTTCCACTAGTTGAGCGATGTTCTCCTTCGTGTACAACAGTGACACGAGAACTGCTCAGTAGCAGCGACATCGCTTCGACGATGCGATTCGAATTCCCAAACACGACGGATCGCGGAGTACTTCGATCTCTTCTTCCTTCAATTCTCCTACTACAACACGACATCCGGTCGAGTACAAGTAACCTCGAGAGATAGACTCGGGAAGGAGACAAGAAGATCCGGGAAAAGGAGAAAAATTCCGGAGCGAAGGGTCCGGAGGAAGTTGAGGACTTGAAGAACGCTGATGACTGTGGACTCTTTCCGAGATGAGCCGAACACCAAAGAGCTGGATTCGAACCTTTCGACCATCCTGTAAGATCGAGGACGGCTCAACGCTCACGAGGGAATGAGCTGAACTTCAGTAGATGGCCTGCCAGGTCCTCCAGAGAGCGAATCGTTCAGTCCACCGAGAAGAATCTTCGGCCATCCAGTGAGTCGAAGAATCCTTCGCAGCTCTTCTACAGAATACTCCACCCTCAGTGGTAAAGAGTACCTGCAGGCTTCTAGCTCCTTAGATTTGGCCGTATGGATTGGCTTTCCAGTGATTCCTAGGAACAGAAAAAGTAAATAAAACAATTAATTATTTAATCAACTTCCAATAATTTTTTATTTAAAATTAATCATTTTATGAAAAGATGATTATATGAGATATGTTTTAGATGGGCCTATCTAAGCAACATCTAAAACAACATTTATCTATTAATTAAAATATATTTATCCAAGTAGAAATCATTGGTGATTTTTAAATTATAATAAAATATTATTATTAAATAAATAACAAATAAGGTTGAACAATGTTGGCTACTTAAGATATGAATTTTAAAATATTAATATATATTTGTATTAGTCACTTACTTCAAATAAGCGATGTGATTCAGCTCTTTTCTACACCAACACAAATCGTACATAGTTTTGGTGTCTTCTTCAGAAAAATTTCAATTGAGCCTGCAGAAAGCGCATCAGTGGTAGATTTCGGTCCTGAAAAGTAAAAAATATTAATTGAAAACAGTTAAATAATAATAATACATTACAATACTACAAAGAACAATATTGTTAATGTGAGGAAACATGGGAAGCAATAACGAATTGATAATAGAGAATAAGGAATAAATAATAGAAAGGAAACAATAATCAAAGTTGTGATGAACATTGAAGGCACGATAAAAAGAAGAGATTTAAAAAATTTAATTTTTAATAATGATTTTCTAAATATTTATATATATAATGTATATGTGTATAGATTTTACTTTATTACTTATAATTGTGTCTTGTATGTACATATACTGCTTATTGTTGATCTCAATTTGTAATATTTTGAAATGCAAATGTATTAATATTTAGTTGGTACCTTTTATTTCAAAATTACAAAGACATTCCAAAAATAAACATTGTACTTTATTCATGGTAAATATTAATGTAATAAACAACGAAGTAATGATAATTTCGAACTACATCGACACAAACTAATTAAATATCTTATGTTGCTTTCATAGATAAATAACTAAAAAAAAATACTTCGTTTATTGCGAACTGTATCTCTAAAAAGTTGAAAATAAACAGAGAGATAGTACAATGTTCCAAGTTTACTAGTCAAGTGGAAATCAGAATTCAAATATATTAATTTATAATTTATACAGAACATAATTTAACGTACTTATTTTTTATAGTTCAATTAAAATTATTAAATATTTGTAATACACGAACAAGCGTTTATACAAATAAACATATCAATTTTAGTCGCACTACTAATTTTTAAATTTAAGTAAATTGTTTTATACTGATTGAAAACGTTTTATTATTAATGAGATATATTAAGAACAATAACGAATTAAATGTTAACAAACTGTTATTATATTATTAAAGTTTTCGATCTGCATTGGTACATAGCTATGGCAAGACAAATTGTATGTTCTAAGTATGGAAGCAGTTATAATGAATTAAAAAAGTATATCTTTTTTTCTTCAAGGCAACAGGAAAATTACTAAATATGCATATCCGTGCATGCACGTACATAAATTAATTGGTTAATCTTACAAACAATAACATTTATGTTACAATTTGAACTATACCTTAATTATAAATTGTAGAGAAATCTTTCCATTACATTCTTAACAGTTTAAAAATCAATATCCTTCGGTAGTTGCAGTTATATATTTAATTTATCAGAGCTGAACATTTATTGCGAAGTGCGTCGTACAGAACAAAGACTTGACTGAGGTCAAAGTCCAGGGTGTAGGGTACAATGTTCAAAGTAGTGGGGTTATATTAAAATTTAAAAATTTGTTTATTTCCTAACATAATTTGACCATTATTGAAGATGTATGTTCTTGATTGTAACGAATATATGAAGCTTTAGTTAATTTAACAAGCAGTTATATTTATTTTATAATTTGAGCAGTACCTATTTCCAAAATTGGAGCATAAATTTTCATTACTGTTTTAAATAGTTCAAAAATGATTATTCATTTGTAGATGCAGTTGAACTTTTGATTTATCAATGAGCTATTAAAATTATATGAGAACTGCAACTAGACTAAGGGAGAAGTACAAGTGTTGGGTACATTGTTAAAAGTAGTGCGTGTATAGAAAAAAATAAAGAAATTTAGTTATTTTTTAACATATTTGGACAACTATTGAATATGTATGTCATTGCTTATACTATATAAATTAAGAATCTGTTAATTTAGCAAGCAGTAATATTTATTTTATAATTTGAACAGTACCTTATTTCTGAATTGCAGCGTAAAATTTCCCATACTTTCTTAATTAGTTTAAAAATCACTATTGCTTAGTAGATGAAGTTTAACTTCTGGTATATCAAAGAGTTACAACAACTACTGCGAAGTGCGTCGTACAGAACAAAGACTTGACTGAGGTCGAAGTACAGAGTATAGGGTCCAATGTTCAAAGTAGTGGGGTTATATTAAAATTTAAAAATTTATTCATTTTCTAACATAATTTGACCATTATTGAATATGTATGTTCTTGATTGTAACGAATATATGAAGATTTGGTTAATTTAACAAGCAGTTGTATTTATTTTATAATTTGAGCAGTACCTTTTTCCAAAATTGGAGCATAAATTTTCGTTACTGTTTTAAATAGTTCAAAATTGACTATTCATTTGTAGATGCAGTTGAACTTTTGATTTATCAAAGAGCTATTAAAATTATATGAGAACTGCAACTAGACTAAGGGAGAAGTACAAGTGTTGGGTACATTGTTCAAAGTAGTGCGTGTATAGAAAAAAATAAAGAAATTTAGTTATTTTTTAACATATATTGACAACTATTGAATATGTATGTCATTGCTTATACTATATAAATTAAAAATCTGCAAGCAGTAATATTTATGTTATAATTTGAACAGTACCTTATTTCTGGATTGTTGCCTAAAATTTCCCATACTTTCTTAATTAGTTTAAAAATCACTATTACTTAGCAGATGCAGTTTAACTTCTGGTATATAAAAGAGTTAAAACAACTACTGCGAAGTGCGTCGTACAGAACAAAGACTTGACTGAGGTCGAAGTACAGAGTATAGGGTCCAATGTTCAAAATAGTGGGGTTATATTAAAATTTAAAAATTTATTCATTTTCTAACATAATTTCACCATTATTGAATATCTATATTCATGATTGGAACTAATATATGAAGATTTGGTTAATTTAACAAGCAGTTATATTTATTTTATAATTTGAGCAGTACCTTTTTCCAAAATTGGAGCATAAATTTTCATTACTTTTTTAAATAGTTCAAAAGTGACTATTCATTTGTAGATGCAGTTGAACTTTTGATTTATCAAAGAGCTATTAAAATTATATGAGAACTGCAACTAGACTAAGGGAGAAGTACAAGTGTTGGGTACATTGTTCAATGTAGTGCGCATATAGAAAATAAATAAATTTAGTTATTTTTTAACATATTTGGACAACTATTGAATATGTATGTCATTGCTTATACAATATAAATTTAGAATCGGTTAATTTAGCAAGCAGTAATATTTATTTTATAATTTGAACAGTACCTTATTTCTGAATTGTTGCCTAAAATTTCCCATACTTTCTTAATTAGTTTAAAAATAACTATTGCTTAGTAGATGCAGTTTAACTTCTGGTATATCAAAGAGTTACAACAATTATTGCGAAGTGCGTCGTACAGAACAAAGACATGACTGAGGTCGAAGTACAGAGTATAGGGTCCAATGTTCAAAGTAGTGGGGTTATATTAAAATTTAAAAATTTATTCATTTTTAAATATAATAGAACAATTATTAAATACTTATATCCATACTTGTAGTGCATAAATTAGAAATGAAGAATTTAACAAGCAGAGTTTTTTTTTTTTTTTAATAATTTGAACAGTACCTTTTAACTTCATCGTAAATTGTCAAATGCTTTCTTAAATATTTTATAGGCACGATTTATTGGTGCAGTTAAATTTCTGATACATCGAAAAACTGTTATGATAATTTAAAACATCATCTTTACGGAGCTAGAACTACGCTTTGAAGTACCTTGTTCCAATTGGTCCAACTACGTGGTGTCCCAAGTTCCAAAGTACTCGAGTTAAATTAAAATATATTTATTTATTTTATAATACAACAGGACAATCGTTCATAATTATTTCGACGAGGACCGCACAGGTTATGCGTGGTTCACAATCACAACGGTCACACTTGTTCAGCCTTTCGGGTAAACCCGGATGCATTCGGCACTCCAAGTGTGATCGAAGTGATTGTGAACCACGCGTAACTGTTGCTGTCCTCATCTAAATAATTACCCAATCGTTTATCATTTATTTTCAACATTCTTCATACATATATCAATAATTTAGTAATCTAATAGGCAGTAAAACTTATTCAAAATTTTAAAATGAATCTTATTTTTAAACATCAGAAAGACATTTCAATTCCTTTCCCAAATAGTCTTAAAATGATTATTTATTTGTAGATGCAGTTTTACTTCATATTTATAGAAACAATTAAATAAATAAAAACATGTGGGTAGGTACAAACCTGAAACTTCGACAATTACTAATAGAAGTAAATGAAGTATGGTACTTTTATGTTCTAAATAGCACAGTATCGAAAAATAAAGAATTTTAATTATTTTCTTCCACGTCATAGACAATTGTTGAATTGTTGTAACATTTATTTAAATTGTTGAATTTATGTACATACTTGAAGTTATACAGATAATAATTAATACAGATAATAACAGTTATAAATAATAATTTATTTGGAATTTTTATCAATACCTTATTTCTATAACGCTCAGAAACATTTGTGTTTCTTTCTCATACAGCTA